AACGTGATCCAACTGGTCAGCTCTAGAGGAGATCAATCCTTACTGCTCTTTAGAAGGCCAGATCCTAAAGATGAAACTCAAATACTTTGGCCACCTAATGAGAAGGAAGGACTCACCAGAGAACAGCTTAATGCTGGGAAAGATTGAGGGCAGAAGAAGAAAGGGACGACAGAGAATGAGGTGGCTGGATGGAGTCACCGAAGCAGCAGGCGTGAGCTTAAATGGACTCCAGAGGATGGTAGAGGACAGGAAGGCCTGGAGGAATATTGACCATGGGGTCGCGATGGGTCGGACATGACTTTGCAACTAACAACAACTTCTATCTCCAGCTTATGTGATGTTTAATATAGGGAAGTAGGTGAGCTGTTGTGTTCTGGGATGTTTGGAACTACAATTGGCACCATCACAGGCTGTCCAGGCAGTGGCTTATGGGAGCTGTAGTAGTCAGTAAAGCCAGGTTGTTCCTCCTGAGAAACTTCTACATGAAAACCCACGTAGCCATGCATGACTTGAACCACCGTCGGTTACTTGGCTACTTCGTTTCCGTCGAAGAAGAAACCTGAGGCGTCACCATTTCAAAACCGGATCGCGACAATTATGAGCCCCGCCCACCCGGGATTTGGCGCGGGAAATGTTGGGCTGCCTGCGCTTGTTCGCTGGGCTGCCTGTCGCCCCCGAGCGACCCCTCCTTCCCCTCTGCCCGGCCAAGCTCTCGCCCCCTCTTCCCTTCCGCGCGGCTCCCCAGCGAGAGTCGCCGCAAGGAGCTGCGAGCGCCCTGGGGAGGCTCCCTCGGGGCCAAGGCGAGCCTCACAGCCGTCGGAGGGAGCATCTCCAGCACAGCGGGACTTTCCGCCCCTTCCTCCCGGGACTGTGGCCGCGATCCTGCACGGTTTTTAGTGTTCCTGGTGCTGCTTTGGGCGGCGCCGAGGCAGAAGCTGCCCCTAAACGCCCGGGATGAAGTGGCAATGGAGCTTGGGCGCTTCCGGAGCTCGCGGAGCCTTCGCGATTTGGGTGAAGTCGCCCCAACGCGGCTCCCCTGGGAAGCCCTTCGGCCCAAGCGGCCACCGCCCCACCGGCAGCTTTATTGAAGCCGCTCTGTTTGCTTTCCAGAGCTTCCCGGCCGGCCTCGTCTTGGGCGGTGTAAAGTCCCTGTCTCTAAGCTGCAGCCGCCTGCGTTCAAAGTCTAAAAAGGAGGCTCGGGAAGAGCTGGCCTGATTGCCAATAAGTAACTAATAAATCCTTTTAGGCTTTAGGGAGGATTTGAAGGCATTTCCAGCCCCGGCCCTCCCTCCCGTTTGCCTTTCTTTCAATCATTATATGCGGGCTGAATCCTGGAGGGGAAGCAGAGAGACCCAGAGGTTGAGTTCATCCCAAACGCGAATGTTTCGACCATAGGGTGCAAGCCCCCGTGACTGTGCTTTGTAAGCAGCCAATGTAGTACGTTAGCCATGATTGATGGTTTAAGCCTACTGAGGGGACGCAATCCAGAGAAGACTATAAACCTGAATGTGTTTACAGAGTACAACCTTATGGATTTGGTGTGATTTATTTCAGAGTAAATCCCACAGAATTATGAAGGTAGATTCCATAATGGATCCAGTGAAGAGGCAGGGTTGGATTACACAAAAATGAGCAGAGTCTACACAGGGGATCCGTAGAGTTCCTTTTCTACTATAAGCATTCCTATCTAGTTACCTGCAAGTAAGTCCCATTGAACTCTATTACACATCAGTAAATGCAACTACACTAAGTTCAGTCCAATATTAACAGTTCCACATAAGGCTTTGAGTGCATAAATTGCCTTTGTCATCAGTTTTGGAGGACACCCAACCATCATCGTTAACAATCCTTCTGTGTTCTTATCTAGCCCAAACATTAAAGAGAGCTTTTAAAATTAGCTATTTTATCATGTCACAGGAACAGCCTGCTCCTCTCCCCTCCCCTGGCCAGTGAATGCTTCCCCATGAGCCTTGTGTTCTCCCTGGCTTGGCTCAACTGCATCTTAGGATGGCTTATGACTGGCCTTCCATTGCATCAGGAGAGACAACAAAAGATAGAATAGCTGCCAGATCTGTTTTGACTGGCATGGCATAGCCCTCCATCCAGAGGCACTCAAGATCAAGTTTTGATTCAATGTGCATAGATCTCCTCTTCTCAAAACTAGGGGACTATGAGATCATGAAGCCAGCTGGGTGACTCCGGATCAGTCAGTTTCTCTCAGCCCTCTCTCAGGAAGGGGCTGTGGGAAACCACTTCAAAAAAAAACACCCTGCCATAAAAATTTCAGACTAGATCCCTCCCCCAATAAATACATGCATACACATCTCTCACAAAATGCCCCCCCCCCAAAAGAACAGTTTCAGCTCTTGTGACTTTATCAGAAAGGGAGAGAAGAAATAAACTATGTCACTTATTGAAACTCAAAATGAGAATTATATTTGGAGGGAAAGTGTTTATTTGGAAATACAATTTGAAAAAAAAAGTATTTTCACTCCTAGGTTTTGCTGTTGGTACCAATGTGCATTTTTGGTAAGACAATAGAAAGCCAACATATTGCTGTGCAGAGCTCGAAAATGAGCTGCTCTGTTACTATATACAAGAAACCAGCTGGCCCTCTCGGTGGAGGGAGAATGCTTGGAACAGGTATCAGCCCCGCCACCACAACAGAAAGAAGACCGGCTGGCACTGGGGGACATGGAATCAAGCCCCCCTAGATGCACCTGTCCACATCACCCATGTGGACATAGAGATTACGCTACAGTTCAAGTCCTTGAGCCAGAATTAGCTCCCCGGGGGAGGGGTTCTCGGCTGTTCTAGAAGTCTTGCCGCGGGGTGTGAGTTAGACTGTGCCTCCGCAGATCACAGTTGCGCCTGAACACTTTGCCGCACTGCTCACAGTTGTAGGGCTTGATGTCTGTATGGGTGAGAAGGTGAGTTTTCAGGTTACTTCTTTGATTAAAGGTTCTTCCACATGTGGGGCATTTGTGTGGAGATTCCTGTTCAGATTTGAAGCAAGCAAAGGATTAAACCCTTGACAAACTACTTGGATTATTGAGCTTTTCAAAGTTCACTCAGCATTTCCACCCCCACCCCCACCCCCAGGCCTCATTTTTGGCCTCATTATATTGCTGCAGGAGAAGAACATGGCAAGGCAAAACAAACTTGCAATCTAAGCAGACAGAAACAGACAATGCAATTCTGTGCAAATGTAAATTGACAGTAATAGGCAACAATGAAGGCTTCAGACTAAAGTGCATAGGACTGCACTGTGCACGCATTTATAGTTTGGTTTTATGCACATTTACTTTAAAGCCTTTCCAATAGGATTCAGTAAGGATTACTCCCAAATAAGTGCACATACATTTTCAGATTTAGAATCTCAGATTCATACCCTTCTGTGTTTACTGTCCATCCCAAATACATTTAAAGAAAATCTGCATACACTTCAATGACTAAGATTTCTGCAACCATCATTTATGTGCATCCAAACATGCACTTGTGATTTCACATTTTTATTTACCCAATTGATCAATTTTCTTTGAAACTGATCTCAGAATCACAGCTTTACTTTCACATTAAGAGCGGTTTTAGCTGCAGGCACAATTATTTCCAGAAAATGCATCTGGAACCCAGAAGCAAGTCTACTGATTTACTCTTAGTCCCTTCTAAGTGTGTTTAAGATTATAGTCTTAATTGCACAGACATATCTTCCTGCCTGTCAAGGCCAGTCCTACTTGCTTTGCATTTCCTAGTTCCTGGAATTTAAAGGGAAAATTCTCCTGCTAATCCACCGGGGCTTCCAAAGGAGACTTGGTTCATCTCTCTAAGTGAGAAGTCTTTCACAAAGCAAGTATTTTTAATCTGGGCTTTTCCATCAAAGAACGCATCTCATTTAACCATTGATAGGTTGCTTCCAAAAGGTCTGGCTAGTTAAGGAGTTTTTTCAAGTGTTAGAACATGGAAGTCTTGAATGAGTGAAGTCAACCTTAGCCAGGCTATCTTCCCTGAAATGTAAATCCTGCTTAATTCAATGGAATATACATCTACATAATGTACATAAACAACCAGTCTCTAGGAAATGATACTTATTTAATTTTTTGATTTATTTTACTGGTATCCCACTTTTTTCCTAGAATATGCCTGCTTTTTTTAGAAGAAACGTAGGGCAAATGCAGTGAATTGCAATGACTATACATCAAAATGATGGCAAGTAGGCAGGGATGTCTTAACACAAATGCTATAACGCACTTGCATCTGATGCAAGTAAGTGAATCACTTTGCACATTTCATCATTTGCCCCCTTGTCCTCGCCATCTAAATGTCCAAAATGTTACAAACCTCACATATATTAAATATGGATTTGTTGTTTTCTACATATCAGCATTTGAGACAAATAGCACAAAAGATTTCAGATTAAGAAGCACATCTCTATCTCTTATTTTGCATCTAGAAAATAATTACTGTGTATAATTATTCACAATCAATTAAAATCAAAATAGAATGTGTAAAATAATTGAGCTTGATCATACCTGCATATGTAAAGTTTTATGAACGGCTAGGGTCCTGGATTGGCAAAATCCTTTCCCACACTCTTGGCACTTGAAGGGTTTTTCTTTTGAGTGGATATACCTGGAAATCAACCAAACTGTTTGGCGTCAATATCTCTATACACGCAACAAATGCTGTTAACAGCCCAACTTTTTAAAACCAAAATTATATGCTGCCTAGTTGCTCATCCCCAAAGTCCCTTTTAAGATGTTCATACACTATGAAATAATTATTCACAGTTCTTCATTGCCTTCTTAGAAATAAGCCTCTTTAAATAGGAAACATATATTTCTGGGTAAATATGCATACATTTGAGTAAACATGCTTAGCAAGGATGTAATCTCATGTAAATGTTCATGGGTGTAAGCCCAATTTACTACTTTGGCAGGTAATTCCAGGTGAAGTTAATCAAAATTGCCCTTTGATTAATGTCAGCTTGAATGTTTGTGTTGAAGTTTATAAATTTGACAGGAGAATGTAGGGGTTTTGTTAAATAAAGAGACCAACATTCTTTGGCTTCTCAAAACCAGCCACAAAAGAGTCTCTTTGTAGAGATTTGTATATCGTTACAAACCCATAAATATTTTTGTGCTCTTACTGCCAAGTCTTTAGTGATAGTTATATTATAGCCCAAAGGCAAAAAAGAAAGAAAGAAAGCAGAGGCAAGAAACATGATCAAGAACATCAGAGGACATTCAAGTGAGAGAGAATTCTAAACTGAGATTTTAACTTTAGAAATGTTTCATTGAAGACAAGAAGACTAAAGTCAACCATTCTTCCTCAAGGTGATAGGAATTCTGCCTCCCGCTCCAACCAGATCAAGTAATTTAGCCCCACCATCTTAAAAACCTCTTGGCTTTAAAATCAGCCATGTCTCTTCAGATCAAGGGTTGAAGGCAAATCAACAGAATGACTACATCCTTGGCTCCAACTTCATTTTCTTGGAAATAAATCCTACTGACCTGTTCAGAGGGATAACAAGAACACCTCTTGTTTAGATTGTGGATAGGATAGCCGTGTTCCTACATCATGCTAAATCATGATTTGTTTGAAGTAGGATTTACTGAACAGGTCATAAGCCATCGTGAAGCAATGGCTTCCTAGCAAACAATCAACATATATTAGCTTAGCGTTGTATTTGAATTCAGCTTCTTATTAGTTCAAGCCGCTATAAGCCTTGGTTTATTTGAACTATGGTTTTCGGAAGAAAACACTCGGCAACCTTCGAGGTATAAGCCAGGCTCTTCATAAACCGATTAAGCCCAGTTGAGTAAAACCTCCGTGCGGGCCTCCAGCCCCGCCATCTGATTGAGGAGGCCTAGTTGGGTCTCCTTGGCTGGCCTAGCGGAGGCAGGAGCTGACCTGTGGTCGCGAAGGTGATCTTGCCTCCGGAAGGCCTTGTGGCAGATGTCGCAGGTGTAAGGGCGCTCGTCGGTGTGGGTCCTCTCGTGGATGAGCAGGTTGTAGGACTTGGTGAAGTGTCGCCCGCAGAACTTGCAGATGAACTCCTTCTTGGTCTTGGAGGGCAGCCGGCCCCGCGCGGGCTTCCGGCTCTCGGGGGACAGCTTGCCCAGCGCCGCCGACAGTGGCCCGCCCAGCTTGGCCAGCTCGCCTTGAGCTTGCGCGGCCGCCGCCGCGTGCACCTTAGGCGGATCCTCTTGAGTGGCGGCCGCCGCCAGGTTGGCAAAGTCAAAGCGAGGCCGCTCCTTGCGCAGCGCCGGCAAGACGTGCGCGATGGCGGCGGCCTGCTTGGGGTGGAACAGGTGCGTGGCGAAAGGCAGGCCCGGGAAGGGGAAGCGCTCCACCAGGCCTTGCGCCGCCGCCATTTCGCTCAGCGCAGAGCAGCGGCTGATGTCGGCCGGGCCGCTGCCGCCGCTCGAGGCAGTAGCAGCGGCGGCCGCGGCCGCGTAACAGCCCAGCGTCCAGTGGTTCATGTGCATGGTGTGGACGGCGCTCAGGCCGTAGAGGCCCTGCAGGTGGTCCACGGCGGCCGGGAACGTATTGACGGCTTGCAAGAAGGAATAGTTGGTCAGCTGCAGCGAAGGGTGCAGTGGGATCGGCGCCGGCAGGGCCTTGCTCCCCATCGTGCCGGCCCGGGCCTTGCCTTGCTTTGACTGGTTGAACCCGGCGGTCGGAAAGCGCGCCTCCTTCTCCGGTGTTCGGATCCTAAGCAGAAACAGGAACATGAGAGGAAGGGAGTAGAAAAGATTGCGGTTATTCGAGGAGAGGCACAAAGCGGCCCTTTCCTCACCTGCTGTTTCTTTCGCCCCTAAACCGCCTGCTGTGTGGCCCCTGTGCTTCCCACCCTCCCTCTCCCCCAGGGCCAGATGTTAATCCGTTTCATGCCCACCGCTGACGGGACGCGCTGCAACGAAGGGAGAAGTGGGGAGGGGACCAAAAAAGCAATTTTTTTCAAGGCAGCCGAGTCAGAGGATTGGTGACCGCGGGTGACCAGGGATTCGGCCTGGGTAGGACAGAAGCAGGCCTGGCAAGCCTTGGAGCAAACCCAGGATGATTCCCGAACTGGAAACACGGACCTCGGCCTGCGAGGCGCGAAGAGTGCGGGTGGGCATGGCAATCCGGACATCCCAATTTATGGTGGCCAGTTCTTCCTGCCAACCTGCCAGCGCTGGTGGATGACTTCAGCTCCATCGCAGCCAAGGTCGGAGGGAAGCGCTTTGAAAAGAGGCCAGGTCCTGCGGAGCAGCGAGAGGGGATAATAATAATGCAAGCGATACCTTGGAGCTTATTGGGGCGTGAGTCAGGCCACCCGAACTGGCAGGAGAGCACCACCAACGCGGTGCAGAGTTACGCACTTGGCGAGGGCGATCAGTCAGAGGCCACTGAACCGAAGACGCCGCGCCATGCTTGGCCGAGGCGCTCAAGGTAAAGAGCCAAGCAAACGCCGGCGTGCCAGGAAGCGCAGGTGCCCTGACACCCAGCCGACCTAACGCCGATTTTTCTCGCCTCCTGTTAGGTTGATGGTTAACTGCCCCCTCCTGTCCTACTCAGAAGCGGGTGAAATGGAAATAAAATCACGACCTCCACGGACACTTAAGAGCGAGAAACTTTTTATTAGGATGAAGAGGAACCTGATTCGGCTACCTCTCCTGTCCCCCCTCGGGAAGCGAAGGGCAGCTGCATTCTGCCTTCAGCAAACTGCGACCCCCCTTTTTTAAGGGGATCTTCCCTTGCCGCCTGTTCTCTTATGCAAGGCGGGCAGGGAAGGCTGGGATGGGCCCTAGTGAGCAGAGGGGCAAAGGGCTGCCCTCCGAACACGCTGATTGGCTTACTCACAAGATTGTGTTGGCGGCCACAGGGCATATTCCGGAGCAGTTCTAGGTAGGCCAATCCCTGGAAACACTAAACTGCGCTGCGGCCTAGGAAAAAGTTGTAAAGTACCCGCACGTACACGTGCACTCTTCCCGGGAAAGGGGAATGTGCGGTCTCTTCGCATGACTTGCAGGCTCGGACCATTAACCAGCGAGAAAGAGGAGAAGCCTTACTAAGCAGGGGGGGGGCAGCATTGCACGACCCGTAAAGTGGGAACCGGCGGTGCCGTGGATTCGAATTCAGATTTCCTGTTTTTATAAGCTTCCCGCCACGTGATCTTGGAAGAACGTTCAGAGAACCCTAAAATGGAGCAAGTCGATACCTTAACTACGTGCCCAGCGCTGAACCCGTGGCAGTCGGTATAATTCCTCAGCCCAGAGAAAAATACACTGCGATCCAAGATCTGTCGTGGGATTTTCCCCCCTCCCTACTTGAAATAAATTCCTCCTGTAACCCAACCGTAGATGCGTGTGAGTTCGGGGGGGGGGGGGGGAACTTGG